ATCCGCCTTGACTTTTGAGTGTCATTAGTTCGAAACGAAGGCAGAACACTGGTGCGCCGTATAGCAGCGGCAACTTCTCCGTCACAGCAGCGTTGCGTGCAGCCTAAATGAACTCTTGCAGGCAAACAGCAAAATAAATGAGCTCAAGACAATCGAATAACTGAGAAAAATCACGAGAAAAATCAGGAAAGTCGTTAATTTTTTTGATTCCAAAAGGAGATCATCAAAACTAAGTTAAACACCGTAAATAATGGCCATATATTTTCCCCTCACATGTTACGATGAAAATTCTCCAAGTGCCAGTTACGTATCTTCGAGACTTCACACAATACGGTCTTAATTCTTCATATAAAGAAGCATTTCATATCTAACCAAGTAAAATTAAATAACCTATTATACCAAATTACGTTCTTCTTTGGCAACAAACAGATGACAAACTTGTGAGCGTGTGTGACAAATATCAGACTTTAGCTACTCTGTATTAGAAATCTAGCACATTCTATAAAAGGCAGGCCTGCTATCTAGGGAATTATTAAGATATAAATCATAAAAGTATTTTTTTTAAATTTCAGCATGATTTATAAAACAGAACGTCTTCAACTCATTGCTTCAAGATGTATTCTGTCTAGGAAAACACATTAACACAAATGAATATTATAAACGGAAAATTCCACGTAACAATATCACACTTTACGATAAAATTTTAATGGCGTATAAAGTCTCCGAATACACCAGCCGTAATGGCTAACATATAAAACTACATTTTAATTTAAAATGTTATAACACAGTGCCACCACCTTCTTTAACATTGAGTAATTCTGAATTTTTTTATTGTGAGATTCTCGCTGTAAAACTATTATTTTCTTGAACAACATTAACTAGCTGATCTCTGAAATGGTAAAGTGTGGTGTTTTCTTTGCGGTACGAACTGAGTTCTTAAATATTATTTCAACGGATATCAGGTTTAAAGTATTAATTTTAATTAAATATTTTCGAAGCAAAACGCAGTGCTGTGTTATCATATGTTTTACATATTTCGGAAACAGCAAACGAATCATTATAATAAATCTCTTAATGGTGTAAGAAGCTGTTGTCTGAAACTTATTGCAATATTTACTGTACAAATATATACATTTAATATAAATTTATTTGAATTCATCATATCGTTTTACTTTGTACCTGAACTGCAATAATGTTTACGTACCGTCTTGAACATTAGCCAAAGATAAATTTATTTATTATTATATTTATTTAGTGTTCTGTCTGACGACAGGTCCATATGAACAGGATCCTTCCATCCTTTTCTCGGACTGGGACCTGTTCATATACGTTCTTGGCAGATGATCCAGAAGTGGTTTGCCATTGCCTTCTTCTGTGTGTGAATGGAGTAATTGTTGGGATGCCACGGAGGAAAACTCCGTGTTGCCTAGACTACGGCCTTGCCCAACACAAGTTATAAATTCGGGCACCGCCGGGAATCGAACCCGAGACCCCAGGATTACAAGGCCAGCGTTCTAACCGCTAGACCACCGTGGCTATAAAGATAAATTATAAAGAGCTAATGGTGTCTGAAACATGAATAGCGGAAGGAAACGACCGAGAAGTGCAGCTGTGACTGATGCAGAACGGAAAACAAAAAAACGTTCATTTAACCGATAAATTAATTCAGTCTCATTATACATGATTTTAATACACTATTTTTAGAAAATTTCACAATACAGCAGCTCGAATATGAAAATCGCTCGGTCCATATGGGTACATGAAAACAACTCCAAAATGGGTATAAATTATTTGTTAAACTTTGTATCGGAGAATTTTACGAAAAGCTACGGAGTTATTTAAAAAATACTTTAAATGTTGCAACATAAGGTTTAAAGATCCAAGAAAACAAAAGTCCAGACTGAGCTTAGATGGCCATGAAATGATATTTGCTTTGATTTTGTTAATTTAGTATTCTGTTACAATATTGCTTTTAAGACAACTATCAAACACGCGACATATTTAATTTTCTTTAGGTGTGTGTAACAATACCAAAGACTGAAAGCTCGGTACTGATTGTTTATTTATAATGTATACACCCACAAATTTAACTTTTCTCTGTAACTGCAATTTTATTTTAACTTAAATAACATGTCAAATCTAAAACTTCTTGACGATGGTGAAGAGTCAATTGAATAAAAATTTTCTTGGATATTATCCATCGTCTAGTAAATATAAAACGTAAAACGACGTTTCGGAGATGGGACTCTATCTCCGTCTTCAGGTTCCTACACAGTTGGGCCCACTAGATAGAGCTAATCCCTACGTTTTATATTTACCAGACGATGGATAATATCCAAGGAAATTTTTATTCAATTAAATAACATGAATGTTAACATGTCGTTTATAACGTCTTCTGTCGATCACGCAAAGTATTCTATGTTTAATCGTAAAATCTTGTTGCTCAGTCAATTGGAAATCAGAAACACATATAAATTACGAAACTGAAATACTGTAATTCTATGACTGAGAAAATTATCTCTTAATCACCGACAATTGGCCAGCTAATGATCGGTCACGTTACTAGTATGTTGTGACTTAAATTTAAATGCAGTATTCTTAGTAATAAGAAAATGACATTTAGTGTAAACTAAGATCATTATTTTCGCATCTTCTATGGAAGATAATTTTGACACTCTCAACTTCTGGGCTGGGTGATTCTTAAGCGTTTCAACGACAGCATTTCTGTTGAAACAGCTTTAACCATTTGACACCAAAACAGAGAGAGAAGAACAAATAGTGGAAGGTAACGACAGACACTACGTTTAACGGCGGACACCAATTTGAATTTTTACATTTTGGGGCTACGGTCCCCAGGCATTGCTCGCTCGCCCTTCTCGAATAAAAACGTACATTTAATGGGGATTAGGCGTTTGAAAGCGGGAAAGATAAAGAGATAAATTATGCACCCCCTCATCTAAAGGATATTTAAGAACTCACTAGCAAAGAAATCACAAAACTTTACCATTACAAAGATAAAATGGTTAGCGCTCCTTAAGGAAATAATAGCTATATATTCTGAGAATCACACAAAATACGAAATACATAAATGTAAAAGCGTCACTTATTGTTAAAGCAAGTGGTACATATAGTTACCACTGCTCTTTAAAGTGTTACATGTGATGAAAGAAATGTAAGTGTGAAGAGGAATGAAGTAATCGGTTGTAATATGTTTAATTTTTCTTAAATATGAGAATTCAGGTGAGACGGGATGCATACTAGAAATTTCAACATTACATAAAATCTTAACTTTCTACTTCCTTGTGCTATTTATAATAGAATCCGATTCTGCAGAAATTCTGAACTTCGTAACATACCACAAACGATGTATTTAAGTGTTTTGTAAACAAACGTTCCTGGACTAAGACGCAAAAGGACTATTCCAGCATTTTCCTCAGGGGGCGACGAAAACCACTCTCAGGAAAATCGAAACTAGGATAACCCGAATGACAACATAGCAGCAAGCTAGTTGGATGAACTGAGCCATCGAAGTTGCAACTCGCTATCTAAATACTCTCTCACAAGAGAGCACTGACAGATGGTCTGAGGTAGTAACTACCGACAAGTCCTCCAGGTGGCAGAAGATGAGAAAGAGGCTTCTCCTTCCTTTCCGGTTTCGACGGCTCAACTGATAATAAAGTACAACACGGAAAAGTACGTCACAAGTTTGGGTCGTGAATGGGTGTATTATAATGATAGAGGTGATGCTTTCAGAAATGAATCATTGAGATAAGAGATCAAGATCTGGTAATTCCTTTCCAAAAATAAAATATGAAAGTACTACGCACTAAATGCAATTGGTGGACCAGACGACAACTGTTTTCGTATTCACTGCAGTAAACATTTCAAATCCTACCAAATACAACCGATAATTTAATTCCGGAACTTAATGTTAATGTATAATTTCTGACAGCGTCGTCCTTTATGAAACCGAAATGTTCATTACCGTCCAAACAACAGCTACTCGTTCTTGTCCTCAGATGAATACAGTCCACACCTTCCCACCATATTTATTCCAAATCCATTTTAATATTATCCCTCTTCCGAGTGGTGTTTTCCTTCCTCGTTTTTAGACTAAATTTTGTACACATTTATTACAGCTTACATGCATGCTATATACCCTAACAATCTCATCCTCCTTTATTTAATAAAAGTAATAAAATGTGATTAATAGCATAAAATATGAAGCCTGCCATCATGAAATATTTTTCAACTTCCTAGCACTTCCTTGTAGGGCCAAATATTATTTTAAATATATAAAAATGTCCTTGGTAAAAGTGACATATTTTCAAATATCTACCACCACACAATCCCTGTATAAAATGTAAATTATCTGGAATATCCAAATATAATTATCAAAAATATAGAAAATAAGAACAAGAATAATAATTGTTTTCTTAAACTCTTTAACATTATCCTCACAGAAGACAAATTTGTATTTGGTAAAGGTCTTTCAAGTGATAAATCCTTGTGCAAATTTATATATGAAATTTTACATGCCCTTTTACTTGAAAATTTAAAACTGTCACAACATTTACATGAAATTTAATAATATTCCTATCTAGCTGTTATAATTCCTACCAATGTTTGTGTGTATAAATATGTATACACAAATACATCCAAGTATCTATGCCATCATTTATTTTTCTATGCATCAATCTGCCTATTCATCTATGTACACATCCATCTGTCCATCTAGCTAGGTGTGTACTTATTCTGCTTGAATTTCATATTTGACACCAGCAAAACAATTAGTATAAACCAATTCAGTATATAAAATAAGCAAACAAACAACCTATTAACACTATAAATGACACTTGTGTCATTTATAGTTTTAATAGTTTGTTTGCTTGCTTATTTTATATTCTATTTTACCACAGGGTATGCAAAGTTTTAAGATAACTCTTTTCCATGCACTTGTAAACTTACATGTAAAAATGTAAACCTCAAATCCCACTTACATTTGTGCTGCAACAGATTCTTTTAGGTTATGTATAGTCACAAATTCATCACTGATTGTTCCTGTACACTTCTATCCTTGTTTCTAACCTTAAATTTGTTCTTCCAACACATAAATGATACAAACCACACACACACGTCACATTCATAAACAACCAACCGGTTCCCTCCACTTCGTTCTAGCAAGTAGCAGATTAGACAACAGTTGAACAAAACATTTCTCTATTAACATTACTAAAATTCTCGCAGTGATAAAAGTGAGGAACGTAAGGCGAGTATTTCAAATATGTGCACGAAAACCGAACAGCACAAAGGTCATATAAAGATGGCTGGACACAAATAATATAAAATTTTATGCGTTCACTATCTAATTCTTTAAAACAATATATAACTCAATCTAATATGTAATTTTAACCCATTTTTCTCCCTTAAGGAAATAAATGCTAGCTTATTAGATCAAAATTCTGTGTCCTCATCTTCCCCTTCAAATTTTCGAAGATACTAAGAGATTTTAATTATTTTTTTGCGACAATTATGCCATTGGAAATAACCCCAACCTTATATTTTTTAGATGTCATAAGTTTTAGTGTAAACGAAAAATAAGCTTATGGGCCCGTTCATTTCTGTTCGGTCGTATTGCCATCTGTCGGTGGCATGACGAACAATGTTTTCGACTGTTTAACTAGATTATTCTACTCGAGCCAGAGTAAAGCTTTTTAGTGTTTCAGCACTTTGGAATACCAGCGTTACGATGCTCAAGGTCGTACTATAAGAACTCCATTATCTTCTGCGCAGTCGTGACGTCATAGGCCCTGATGTTGAAGGCCATCTCCGATGATGTCTATTTGTACGCGTGTAGTAACTCGAAAACGGCTGAACAGATTTTCTTCAAATTTTTTATGGACGCTATGCTAATCCAAAACCGTACTTAGTAGTTTTCTAAATTTCTTTGATTCCAACGTGACATTTAATATTTATTAAAGTTACGCTTAAAAAGCTCAGAAATGATAACTGTGATGCCAACACTACCGGATATGAAGTTAGCAAATGCTTTTCACACACGCCCATGTACAATCTCACACAAAAGGCTTTTTTTTTAGTATAGTTTCGCCTAAGGAGAAAAACATATCACGAAGGGCGTGTGAAATATTTTCCGTTCATGAACCAATGTAGCTTAAACAATTATGTACCATACCAAGGCGACGTATGGCGGAGCGAAATTATAACTCCACGCATTCTTAATATATAGACACTAAATTGAGGTAAGCGGTTAGCTTCCGCGACAGCCAAATTTATCCTCGGGGAAAGTGACCCTGAATAGGAACCTAGGGGGTCCCAGACCCAATTTAGTAGCAGAGAGAGAAAGTTAAATCTTTGCTAGAAATTGAACTCTGATCTCCAGTCAACAGCTAAATCACTATTCTCAGGTACCACATGTTATTAAGATTGTATTTAATATGCGTGATTTTACGAATTGTGTTTTTTTTTTGGGTAACACACTGTGTTTAAACTTGTGCTATGTCTTTATTCTGTAAAACCAACGAAATACTGAACTATTTTTGAACGAGTCTCAATAAGCTGATCCAGTCGTGCGGAATTCTATGTACCCTAATAAAATAATATTGCTAAGGAAACGGATAACTAACGAAGACGTCATATCATCATTATCATCGACTCCTCCTGGCGCTGTGAACTGAACCGTAAGTAAGTTCATCAGTAGGAAAAAGCGGGGGGGGGGGGTCGGGGGGGCAACAGTAAGACAACGGTTTGCATACAAAAACACGATTACATTTTTGTCTACACGGCAGATATGATCCAGGGCCTGTACGCACCACGCAGGCGCGAAGTACCAGATTTTGCAGTTCTTAACCGTTCTAGACGTTTCAAATATTCCACATGAAGAAAATATATAGACCTATGAGAGGGAAATTTCCCTGATGATGGCTGTATACACCTATGAAACGTCCGTCTATTTTTACCAGAGTACACGGCAGACTATGTTAAAACTGCTGTTTTTTTAAGCAGATAGGAAGTAGTGATTTGCTTAACTTTAACGTTTCTTTACTCTTATGAAATATTCTCTGAATTTATTTCAGGCAGGCTGCCGCGTAAAAGTGATATATGGGGAAAACATTATGAGACTAAGTAAACATTACAAAACAGATTACGTCTTCTGAGAACTGCGTCATATAGATTATTGTAAAGTTACTTGTGTTTGTAGCCAAGAAACTAAGAAAAACTACATGTCAACAGCAAATGAAACCTCGGATTTAAACAAAAAATTTTAAGCCTAGTTGGAACCAAATGTATCACCTGCTCTACATTCGATAACTGCGCATTATTTATTTATGGATTTCGTAAGATTCTCATAGCCAAAAAATGTATGTTTCCTTAAACGGTATTAACCAGTCGATCGTTGCAATGGTGAAGTGTTTTCTTTGCGGTACGGACTGAGTTATTAAATATTTTTTCAGGCGAGCTTTGGCTTCAAAGGATTAACTAGTTGATCTTTGTAATGGTGAAGTGAAGTGTTTTCTTCGCGGTACGGACTGAGTTCTTAAATGTAATTTCACGCGAGCTTTGGCTTCAAAGGGTTAACCAGTTGATCGTTACAATGGTAAAGCATGTCGTTTTTTTATATAATTCCTAAACTACTTCGACTCGTGCAATGTCAAACCACGTTAACTTCCGAGTAAAAAAATGTAGCTACCATATCTGAAACTACGTTCGAACATCTATAACAGCACGCATTTAGGTATTTGGACTATATTTTTAAACAAATTATAGTATTTGATTTGGGCCTTGTTATTTAAGCTTATTCGTGACTTGTTTAACGCTGTTAGCTGAATTTTAATAGAATCATATGATGGTTAGTGAATAAATTACAAGACGTATGTAAATTAGCGGTCGTGGCCTAATTTAAGGTGCTATCCCGGTATTTTCTGGAGAATCAAAGTTTAATTGAGATACTCACCTCATATTTTAAAGTCGATTCTCGCAGCTTCAGACAGCATCCAGCTACTTTATAAGACCGATTACGTCGTCAATAATTGTATTATTATAGTCTCCTTTAATCGATTGCGTTTTTATTTCTTCTCATTTTGTTCATGCACTACACTTCAACGTTTTCCTCCATTCTTTGAACATCTTTCTACAACTTATCTCTTTAGTCTGAAATCCTGTCTTGATACCTGTTCAGTCGCCTCTGTAGCGTTCAGTGCTCTATGAACAAGAGACTTACGTTACACCAATCGTCTGTATTATTAGTTTCGGCACAGATGGAGGTAAGGAACAATGATTTCTAGCCTCAGCTTGCTGTACCACCTTAGTCCAATCCCACTTCAACAGGAAACTGAGTGGATCCCAGATCCAATCTGAGCAAACAGTTAAAGAAAACCTCCTCTGCCAAACATTTATCCCAGGATGTCCATCCCATAATCAGCAACCATACTACATTATCCCACATCACTAATTCTGGTTAAGATCTTGAAATACTAACATTTCTTCATAATGCATTCCTTCAGTATATCGTTCTTACACGTGTTAACTTGACAACAAAATCATTTCGTCCTAAACCAGTTTAATCTTGTCCATGTGATCCCATTAATATTATTTACACATCTATGTCTAGGTCTTTCAAGTGATCTCTTCTCTTCAGGTTTTACCGACTAAAATGTACACAATTCTCATTTCACACACGCGAGTTACAATGGTAAAGCATGTCGTTTTTTTATATAATTCCTAAACTACTTCGACTCGTGCAATGTCAAACCACGTTAACTTCCGAGTAAAAAAATGTAGCTACCATATCTGAAACTACGTTCGAACATCTATAACAGCACGCATTTAGGTATTTGGACTATATTTTTAAACAAATTATAGTATTTGATTTGGGCCTTGTTATTTAAGCTTATTCGTGACTTGTTTAACGCTGTTAGCTGAATTTTAATAGAATCATATGATGGTTAGTGAATAAATTACAAGACGTATGTAAATTAGCGGTCGTGGCCTAATTTAAGGTGCTATCCCGGTATTTTCTGGAGAATCAAAGTTTAATTGAGATACTCACCTCATATTTTAAAGTCGATTCTCGCAGCTTCAGACAGCATCCAGCTACTTTATAAGACCGATTACGTCGTCAATAATTGTATTATTATAGTCTCCTTTAATCGATTGCGTTTTTATTTCTTCTCATTTTGTTCATGCACTACACTTCAACGTTTTCCTCCATTCTTTGAACATCTTTCTACAACTTATCTCTTTAGTCTGAAATCCTGTCTTGATACCTGTTCAGTCGCCTCTGTAGCGTTCAGTGCTCTATGAACAAGAGACTTACGTTACACCAATCGTCTGTATTATTAGTTTCGGCACAGATGGAGGTAAGGAACAATGATTTCTAGCCTCAGCTTGCTGTACCACCTTAGTCCAATCCCACTTCAACAGGAAACTGAGTGGATCCCAGATCCAATCTGAGCAAACAGTTAAAGAAAACCTCCTCTGCCAAACATTTATCCCAGGATGTCCATCCCATAATCAGCAACCATACTACATTATCCCACATCACTAATTCTGGTTAAGATCTTGAAATACTAACATTTCTTCATAATGCATTCCTTCAGTATATCGTTCTTACACGTGTTAACTTGACAACAAAATCATTTCGTCCTAAACCAGTTTAATCTTGTCCATGTGATCCCATTAATATTATTTACACATCTATGTCTAGGTCTTTCAAGTGATCTCTTCTCTTCAGGTTTTACCGACTAAAATGTACACAATTCTCATTTCACACACGCGAGTTACATCTGATTCCCATCTCATCCCCACTGGATCATACTAATAATATTTGTTGAAGGGTATATTTTATTCTTCTATAAATCTTGAAATGAAACCATTTATCCAAATAAAATAATACATATTTATAAGACACTAAAATAATACCAACTGCTACGAAATAACAGTGATGGTGGGGAGGAAGACATTAGTCAGACATCGACTACAATATGTGACGTCATCACAATCAAAAGACATATATAGTATACGTAACGTTGTAATTATGCAAGGATAAACCAACGCCATTTTAATACACTCCTCTCTATTAAAGAAGCCTTTAATAAAAACAAATGACAATCATCATAAATACACATACTCGGCTCTATGTTCCATATTTAGGTACATTACATGTACAAATAAATAATAATTATAGTAATTAATAAACAGTCACA